AAATAGGAACAGAATGAGAGCCACTTTGCCTCATATAAAATGAACAATCCATTTAAAGTGCTGTATAAGGGTGCCCATTCGTTTAAATTGGTTGCATTAAGAAATACGTTGTGTGGACCAAGTCTACAAATTTATTAGTAAAACCTACTACTGTAAAATAATGTGGGTCATTGTCTCATTTCTTTAAGAATGGAACTCAAGTCAATGTTTTAAGTGCAACAACTCTGAATTTGCCACCTATCTGCAGTGTTTCCAATCAGCCAGTTGCTTTCACAAAGTGAAAGGCCAAGCAGCTGCATGCAAGGGTACACTAAGCACTGGTATCTCAGCTTATTAAGGCAAGAGAGGATCCTCTGCATGCCAACAGCTCCTCTTAAGAGACATCTCCCAAGCCCTCGCGAGCCATTAGCCAAGTCATCTTTTTAACAGAAGGGTTAGCTAAGCAAGTGCTCATTCCCCTAGCATACTCTTTCGCAGCTCAAAGTGTCATTTAATAAGCAAAAGAGAATTAACTCTTCTAATGAAAAGGCCCTTAATTTACATTGGGCATGTAGTGCCGTTGATGAGGGTTAGAGATGGGAGAAAGGGCTGACACTGTCCCCACATTACCAAAGCCGTAGTGTTGCTTTTGTTCGTAGTAACCATGCACAATGAGAAGACTAGGATTAGATCCTTAGCTGTTTATCCTGGGAGGAGTGTTTCTTTATGGTTATAAATAGGTGCACATTGTTACTACCAGCTGGCAAATAATGATGACAAGGACAGCTGAACAGCGCGTGTCGTGATGTCATTCTGCCACCATTGTAATCTTTCCATTACTTGGCTGCTTCTGCTTTCTCTATAAAATGCCACAAATGACTTTATTAAATGCCGTTTCATGTGGCGTAGCTGAATTGGAGGCATAATTTTGTGCAATTTTTCCTCAACAAAAGAGCTGCCTTCCCCCCACCCCTAGAAAAAATAAAATCGATCTCGATTGAAATGATTGATCTTCCGCATAAGCTTCTGACAGTGGCTATAAAATGGAATTGCTCATCTTAACAATAGTGTTGAAGAGCCTGTTAGACAGTGACTAATTCACTGGATGCAAGAAACAGAAGAAAGGACGTAAGATGTCATTGGAAAACAGTGGAAGGTGTTTTTAAAGTAATGATCTTGAAGCTTTTCTCTATGGATATCCAGGAACTGCATATGGAATACCTGGTGATGCAAAAAGGTTAAATGGCACTTCATCATATATGTGCACAGAGCACATATGAGTGTATGTCTCTATTCAGTATATTCATACCATGCCTTTCAGAACAAGTATCCTTCCCAGGGTAAATCCCAACAATTTAAAAACAAGCAGAGTGGGGCTAGATCATACCAAATATCCAAGTAGTACAGCATCCCACATGGGCTGGCCTGATGCTTCCCAGGAGCCTCCAAGCAGGGGCAGGAAAGCTACATGTTGGCCCCTCAGAAGCAGTGTTCTAAGGTATGCTGCTTCTGAAACTGGAGGTTCATGGCTACTGATAAATGTCAAGATAGCCCGGAAAGAGCCATAGCTCAGTGGACAGAGCACCTGCTTTGCATCTTGAAGGTCCCAAGTTCAAGCCCTGGCATCTCCAGACAGGGCAGGAAATGCCCCTACTTCAAGCTCAGGATAGCTGCAGCTTCCAATCAGTGTCAGCCATGCTGAGCTGGATGGACCAGTGGTGTAACTCAGTATAAGACTGCTTTATATGTTCCTAGCTACCTTAAGACATTTTCTGCATGAGTTAATCCCCCTTTGACAGCATTATGACAGCATTACATTTGACAGCATTTGACAGTTAATGACAGCATTAAAAAAATTGCAATGAGGACAAGCAGAACTCAACCTCCAATCCACCCACCCATGCCACTTTCAAACCTATGCCTTGAGAACTCGAAGTGCCTGAACTCTGCAAACATGTGGAGCTGATCGTGGTCAGCACTGGGTGTGTACCACACTTTCACAGCAAACAGAGAGTGTGGTATTGGGCAAAGATGCCAACTTCCTAAGAATCTCGTTTTCTTTTTTTTTTTAATGACTCTTGCCCTTATAGCTGCAAAGATATGCCTGGAAGTGTTTGGGCAATGCTTACTGTGATCTCAGAAGCTGGGCAGGAGAAGACTAAATCAGATTCCCAGTGCTTGGTATGAACTGTCATTGCCCCACATAGCTTCTTGTCCAACTTCATGGCAGGCAGAACCAAAATAAATTCTACAAAATTGAAAAAATAGCAAAATTAGGACAAACTGGACATTTCGGGTGGGAGCTGCACCTGGTTTGAAGGAGCCTGGCAAAATAATTACTTTTTCCCCAGGAGTGCAGAATATGACTTGTCAGATCTAGAATTTTAGGGGGTTTACTCATGGGAAATACATATAGCCCTGAGAATTTCATGCCAATATCTTGTGTGTTATGTTATTAGTATGGGAGCAAAGTTTCAAATGTTCCCATATTTGCAATTTGCACAGAATAACGTAACTGTTGAAGCAATAGAACCAGGATCACACAATTGCTGCAACCCATCTTGGTCTGTTTAAGTCACAGTGGCTTGCTGTGGCACATACAGGGAGCCATTTTGAACATTCAGCCCTTGGTGGGGAGTTGGCATGGCATCATCTGAACCTGAATGGCAGTGGATGCTGAAGCGAGGAACAACGCTTAACCATAGGTCACATAAGGATTGTTTCCCCTCCAACATGCTGCTGTCTGGTTCATATGACATAGCAAAGCAAGCCAACCTTCTGTTGGGAGTGAAACAATCAGAATGACCACTGGCACACTTCGCAACCAACTGTGGCTGCATCCAACGGTAGGTTGCAGCAATTGCGTAAACGGGGTGCTCAAACCGGGTCATGGCACTGTCGATCGCCATGCTTTTCTCCCACAAATTGTGCATTCTGAGTGCCACTGAATGAAATAAGTATTTTAATGTATTTTATTTTTATTTTGTTTAATGTATTTAAGTATTTTAATATGTGAAACTATGCTCATTTTGATTTTGAGTGTTATTGTATGACCTTTGTCATTTTGGATATTTTTTCCTGTAGGATGAAATTTTGACTGTCATCAGGAGAGTAGATGATAACTGGGCAGAAGGAATGCTGGGGGATAAGATTGGAATATTTCCCATTCTCTATGTGGAGGTAAGCTCAGACTGCCTTGTACTAGTTCAGTGAGAGGCAAAGCTGATTACTAAAATCCTGGCATTTCTAAAAACAGGTGAGATGCAGACTCTTTCGGATGGCAAAATCTCCTATAGCCATGACGTTCTGATGTCAACCGTCCAAATAGAAAGATTTTTATCTTGTTCAAATTAATTGAAATCAGCACAACCAGTGTGCTCCTGAAAACTGTCAAAGGCTGTCAGGAGCATATAGCTTAATATCAGTTGATATGTGTGCAAAATTGGAGACAACAACTGTCACAGCCAGAACTTCAGAGAAATTTGGTTTGCAATAACTCCAGGAGTGCAGGTTCCCTAGAAATCATACTTTTATGTCTGTAACCTTCATTTGATGCATGATGCTGGGGGAGAGCTTTGTGAATAAGCTGGACTGACTGAAAGACAGACAAGTGGGTCCTAGATCAAGCCAGCGCTTTCCCTAGAAGCAAAAATGGCAAAATTGAGGCTGTCATACTTTGGGCACATCATAAGAAGGCAAAATTTCTTGGAGAAGACAATCATGCCAAGGTAACTTGAAAGCAGGAGAAGAGGGAGAAAAGACCAGACATGAAATGGATGGACTCCCTTAGGGATGCAACAGAACTGGATTTGGAAGATCTGAGCAGAGCTGTCATGGATAGGACATTTTGGAGGGCTTCTTTTAAGGGTCAGTATAAGTTGGAGATGACTTAATGGCACATAAGAACAACAATCTTCATTTCCATAAGTTCTAGTATACTGTGTGATCCTTTCCTAACCAAATTGGCACATGCTCTAGCATCCAGCTGGCTAACCAAGTCAACCTTGTAAATGTACAAGCTGTTTGAAATATTCTTGATTAGGAGAACTCTTGTCTAGGCACAGGCTTCGCCTGTCAGGACCACAAGCAGAAGACTGGGCAGGTTCTCGATAATAGCCGATGGAAACCTGCTGCAGATGGTTAGACCGCCACCTTTCCTTGGGAGCTTTTGCAAACACTGATGCTTTGAACAGATTGCATGCTAAATTCCCACCTGAAATAAAAATGCTTTCCTACAGTGTATAAGAAATTTTGATCATAAAGAGCAAATAGCACAGGTACACTGGATCATTTATTGTTGTAAAGGCAGGTGCTCTGTGCTTCAAGCAAAACTGATCCCTGAAGACAAAATCAATAATCATTCTCATAAAGTGACTGCAGATATCAGAGTGAGGCAAAGGAAGTGCCATGCTGGTGTGGGGACCACCCTCGCAATCCATTCATATATAAAATCATATATAAATTCCTTACTTTAACACCAAGTCACACACCATAGCCCTGCCTCCAATGTCATATAGCTTCTCCCAGCAACTGCATGTACAACCCCTTCCTACGGACCTCCAGGCTATATGCATTGTATAGATGTTGGAGGTGGATGCCGTCAGGGATAAAGATGAATCCCAGCCTGTATGTTATACTATGCCATGTTTTGAACACCTGAGTGTGGCTTCTGTTATTGTGGCTTGCATATATAATGTCTGTAATGTGAACACAAGGATTCAGCACCACATGTTGCCAAGATATCAAACTTTTATTGCATAAAACAGCATTGGACGCAGGCAGTTTTAATCAAGGAAGTCCTATAAGGAATTTAATTAGATGGCTTTTGCGGTTTCTTATGGCACTCTGACTTTACATGTTGTAGGCTTGGAACAAATGCTTAATGCAATTTCAGTAGTGAATGTTTAATGCCTCACATTTCAATACTGTATGGTGCTTTCCCCAGCAAGGTGTGCAAGCTATATTTAAGGAAATTCAATTTTTAAAGTTTCCATTTAAAACCTCATCTCACACTGGTTTGTACAGTGACTCAGAAATTACATTTTAGCATTCAGTGATGCTGTGACCACTGAAATAGGGGCCATTTTGCTGACCTCAACACTAGCATCACCTCAGTGACTTTGCTACTATTGATCCTGGTTTGTGCTTATTATACCAAAATGAGGATTGTCTCCACATTGAGCCACACCTCTCAGAAGTAAGAATAACACCACATCCCACAGAAATAAGTCCCTCCCAGTATCACAGACCTCCCCAAAAGCCTGGAAGGTAAACCACAACAAAATAGCATGCCAGCTGTCTAATTATTAATCACTTCAGCACTCAATATTATGTAAAGCATTGTGATTATAAATTCTGCCACTGACAAGGGTTATAATTTTAAAACAAGGATCTAGTAACTGTTGAAACATTGAATGCATATGGAAGTTTAATGGCTGGTGGTGTTCTCTTCTCGTAATATTAGATGCAGGCAGTTTATCTGATTAAATGATGCACAGTGGGGATTCTCTTTGCTGCTACAGTCTTAGTCAGTCAATGCACTAGGACTTAAAGTAATTACTGTAAAGGAATCTTGAGCGAATGTGCAATCAAAACCATTCTAGCAACTGAAGGTATAAAGTCTAGCATCCGTCCTAATTCATTTTGGTTCTGCCTAATGGCATCGTGATCATAAGGCCTCTGTCTGTCGTGGGACGTTAGTTTTTTTAAATTATATGTTTGTAGCCCACATGTTCTTGTGTGAGAGCAGTGGAAGCGCAGTGCTGTTCAGACACAACCTTCTTTGGGGCCTACCCCACTTTCTTCAAGAGGCAAGTCAAAAGCATAACTTAATGCATGCCATCTTCATACTTTTGTATGAAGTGTAACTGGGTGAGTCATAAGTCTGAGGCAGTGGGAACAAAGGAAACTGTAGACACTGTTTTCTTGCAAGCCCCAGATTTCTTCAAGGGAAAGAAACTACCCATCCACAGTTCAGAAAATCACTTGTACTTTTGTTCTTCTAGGTCTGAGATAAATAAGAGAATAGACATCTGCTTAAAACGGCGTCGGATGTTATGGGGTGTGAAGGGAGCAGGAATTGCTAGCATCTCACACTTTGCATTTTCCTACGTTGTTTGAGCTCACACATCACACTAAGCCACCCGGGAATACATCACAGCAGGCGGCTGGCCTGCCCGTTACTCCTGACAGACAGTTCCCCATGCAGCAGCTTGCTGTGGCTCTTTTCTCCTTCAGTTTCTCTGCATCCTCCAGGCCACTCACCCCAGAGGTCTTTGCAGCAGAAATCCTCATTGCCCTGTTCCCTTTGCCATTTGGCCTTTATTATTGCATTTTAAGCATTTCTTTTAGATATCTTGGCCAGTAGAATTATTGCTGTTTGCATCCCCACTTCTTTTTCCTTCATTCTTTTCTTTTCCTCCTTCACTTTTTCTTCTTTGCTTACTAATTGCAGGGGAAAGGGGTGAGTGCAAACCAGCATGTGTCAGGGTGGGAGAAAGGGCAGGTGAGGTGGAGATACAGGGCTTCCTTGGAACAGTTATCATAGGTAAAGGACAGCATGTTATGATGGCAAGAAAATGTCATTGGAGTCATGGGGGACCTGAATGGGTGCAAGCCACCTGCCACTCTGATGCCCCCCCCCCACAAATTCCAGCTATACTGGATTATTATTTATTTAAAACATTTTATTCCATCCTTTGCATAGCCTCAGGACGGATCACAACAGAACTAGATGTTGCATACTGCTAGGTCAGTTTTGCAAGATATCTGACGCATCCATTGCATGACTATAAATGAGGGAACCTACCTGGCATGTATAATGGCTGTTTCCATGAGTGTAGGCAAGACCCAGCTATGCCCATCTGATTCCTTGGTGCAGCACCAAGCCAGGAGGGAAGGCCAGGCAGGAGGGGAGTTACTGTGATCCATAAAGTGCAGCCATATACATCAGGAAACCCCTGCTCCCTGGGCCTGACTACATCTTGTGCTGGACCAAAGAGACAGATTGGGGTCGCTATCTTGCATCCTGCTACCCAGTAGATTTTGTGACCAAGCTGGCTAAGGCAGCCTCAGATGGAATGATGGAGGAGCTTGGGATTTTGGTAAGCAGACTATTTCAGCATGCATGCCTGGGCTACATTAACAGGGCCAGCTGAGAACGTTTTGTCCTGAACGACAACCTTGTCTCACTTTGTCATTCACCCAATGCAAGGCATACCCTTGGTTTTGGCCTCTGCATATAGGTATGAGAAGGATGGTGTGGATATTGGGTGCGGGGAGAGGAAGTGACTCCAGCGTCATGGTCAGATGTCTTTCTGGTGAAATTTGGTCTCGTAGGGTCAGACCTTCCCTGAATGTCCTCTACATTTCTGAGTAACCAAAGCCAGCAATTCTGTCTAGGGCCTTGTTATATGTGGGCATGTTGAGGTGCCATCAACACAGTCCCTCTGAGCACCATCTTCAGCACTGTGGCACTCAGAAGGCTCCCTGGTTTCTAGGGGCCATCAGACAATGAAACAGGCTGGAAGATGGTTGGAGTGACGTAAGACCCTCAAGAGGATGTAAGAGCATGTAATCATGTCACCTGCATGGCAGGAAAGGAAGCAGAGAGGGTGTGCTTTGTCACCTCCATCACAGGTTTTGAATAGCTATCTGGCTGGACTTTTCCGGGTGCTGTTTAGCATGCACAAAAATGGCTGGGTGAAATCATCCAGAGGCTCTGGGTATCATCAATGTGTGGGTGACTCTCACCTCTATTTCTGCTTTTCATCATATTCAGAGGAAGTGGTGGAAGAGCTAAATCATGCCTGGTCATCACAATAAACTGAATAAGATGAAGCTCAAGCCAGACAGATTAGACCACTATAATGCACTGTACTTGGGGCTGCCCTTGTAGACTGATCAGAAACTGAAGTATATTCAGTATGGAGCTACTAGATTAATAACTGGGACTGAGCATTTTGATTATATGATGCTTGTGGTATGCCAGCTGCTACAGGACTTGATTTCTAGTCCAATTCAGAGTGCTGATTATGCCTTCTAAAGCCCTTTAGGGCTTTTCAGCAGGTTACCCAAAGGATCTCTTGTCTCCTTATATGTACCTACTCATACATTAAAATCATCAATGGAGGGATGCCTGAAAGTATTTCTGCCATCCTTTCAGTAGTAATGCTCAGTTG